AGGTGATGGCTAAAGGGAAAGTGGCTGGGATATTCAATTAACTGCAAACTTGCAAGCAAGGGAAAAATTCATGCTCTCTGATGAGAAGAAACTTGGTAGTATAACACAGGGCTGGGCAATGTTTGTTTGTGTGTGTGTGTGTGTGTGTGTTGCAGTTTAGCCTTTTACCTCCTGGATGGCCCAAGGAGGCTCTCACATGACACTAGGACACCACCCTAAGGAGGAAAGAAACTGCTCCATCCCTCCAGTCAGAGCTGGTGACTGAGTGGTGCTGGCATTTCCACCAAACTGAAACTAGCATGCTGCAAGGCAAAACACCAGCCTCTAGTCAACTTTTTTTCCAATAATGGCTTAGGTCCCTATTCATAGAAAATAAAAATGGCAGATGTTGTAGCCCATTGCTTTGTTTTGAAATGTGCCTACATGATCAGAGAAAACTATGGATTGATCATAGGATCTTGGAAGGCTAGAAAAGATGGCAAGGAAGTTAGGGCAATTTGCCTTTTGATAAATTGGTGATTGGTCACACCAATTAATGGAAATCATTCTGTGAATGGACAAGCCTTCATGGCAACCTTTTTTGTTTTGTTTTGCTTTCTGAATGCACGTGACATGCTGTTAAAATGTAAAAAGCGCTCTTTGGTGAAATAGGTTGGGAATCCCTGTTATAGCCTCTATGAAAGGAGGCAAGCTGTTGCTTTGCAGATGTTGAATTACAACAGCCCTTCATGATTGGCTTTGTAGGATAAGCAACATCTGTAGGACAATAAGTTGCCCGTCCTTATCTGATAGTATCTACAGGCTAATAATCTTTATACCATTGATCAAGCTGGTCTGTAAGGCAAGGGAGACCTCTAGAGGCCAGTTATATTGTTAAAAACATTGAAGGGCAACCTTTCTTTTGTGTAGTAGCAGACAGTCACTTTGGTTTAAAGGTATGGGTCTAGCCTCTCTCAAATGCATTATTTTTCATCTAACATGGCTGATGGACATAGATTGGGAATTATGGCAGTTGTAAACCATTCCATTTAGAGGGAAACAAATATGGAGTGGTATATGTTAATTATTAACTATTTTTAAATGCATGGGAAATTTATGCCTGTGTAATGATTAGCACTGAAACTGAACTAAATAATATATCCAGCAGACACAATTCCCAAGGCCACATTCAAATCAGTCAGACAGAAATTCAGTATGAGGGAAGATAGGACTGTAGATCCAGGAGAAGATTCTCAAGAATGTATCCTTCATCTTCTCATCTCATCTAATGCCAATCGTTTTATCTGCCCAAGTTGCCCATTTTTCTTCTAGAAAATATAGGGAATTTTGGCTCTGGCATCCACTCCTATTTCATCTTCTAGAGATTCCTGCTCTTTGTCAACATTCCAGCCCCATTGTTAGTCAAAGGCTTCATGTTGCCTCCTGATGCAGTTGTCTTTTACAAGAATTTGGTACAGGTGAGTTCTATGTATCTTCAGGAGCATAAGCCTTAAATGGTCTTCCCAGTACTTCACTTGGATTCACTCCTACACTAATGTTTAGAGTCTGTGTGCATGAATTACAGTTGTGGCACCAGTCATTCTTTCTGGTAA